TTTTTTTGGGGGGGGGGGGGGGGCAAGAGCGGCGAGGCGCGTTGTGTCCTCTGAAGGGGGTCAGGAGATCTGGTTGCCTCCCCCAACATCTTGCATCCGTGCATCTTTGAAGAAAGAAGCGCCAACACTGCAAAGGCGATGTTGCAGAGCACCTGCAAGTATTAATTTATAGATAGCCGCGAATTATTGAGCTGACATGGCCAAATTCTGATTCCTGGCAGTAATTGTAAAGAGACGGTTTTAACTGGCAGTAATTGTGAAGAGACGGTTTTAACCAAAATAATAACGCCGATTTCATCAGACGCTGCCTAGTCTCGTCCTAATACTTACTTGTACACTTCATACGAACCATTTAACTATTCATAATCTGCTAGGTAACTTCTTGGAAAGTGTCATGGCATTAAGAATGTTGCTTACTATTAATTTCGCCGTTGCAACAATACAGGAGCAGCATAATCTAATTACGCAGCGTGAAATGCTAACGGGCTGATTTTGGTTGAATCCGCCGCAATCATCAAGAAGGTATTATTGCCGCAATATTGTGGCAATAATAATGGCATAATATTCCCTTAAATGCCACAAGTCAAGAAAAATCGGGCATACCCTAAAATCCTCCTATAATTCCGATCCAGCGGAAGGAAAAAAAATTCCCACTCCTTTTCAGCAATCTGCCCTGGTAAAAGCATTGCCATAATATAGCCGTGGGAAATCTGCCTTGCCAAGGAAGAACGCCGTATGAACATTCGAGAGTCCCTAAATTTCCCTCAATAAAATGTTTATTTTTGAAGAAAGTTATGAATATTTTTCTTTGAAATTTTCAGGACTTTTAGAAGAAATTGTGAGCACAATTATCTGAAAAACTAGAGCGAAAATATTCATAAGTTTTCCAGAAAAGTCGTGTTTTTTCTAAGGAAATTTGGCAACGCCTAAAGGTTCATACGGCGTTCTTCCTTAGCACGGCAGAAATATTTCCATGATCGAGAGCATTAAGGTACTTCGAGTTAGCGAGCGACCAATGCTGAACGGCCAATAATCCCAACGGCAACCGATGAATCACCGCCGACGGTGTGGAATGTCTGTGAAAGGGGGGGGGGGGGGTGTCGACGGTTCGCGATGAGAGCTTCTCAAAATTTTGCAGACAGGTGGTCTGTTTGCCGTGTCCTCAAGTCCATGTGAGAATCAGGAAAAAGCGTCTAGTCGGATATTGAACCTACGTTCCTGGACAGGAAACATTTTTCGAATGTTCACCCACCACACATGGCACTGCTGTCAAGTACTTATGTCAGACAAATACCATTTGAAGGGGCCAAAGCCAGTGGACCTCAATTCCACGGTCTCGAAGTTTCATTGGACATTTTATTTATTTGCGCAAGAACGGCAGCATATTCACTTGTAAATGGTTTAAAAAATATCCACGATTTCATGGAAAACTCCTGTAATTTTCGACGTAGAAATGGCAATGCACCCGTTAAACTGACCAACTATTACCTAGAAATTTCTGAAAAAAACTTTCAGTTACCGGGTAATAATTTGCCACAAAATCTTATCTCAGTAATCGCAACTGTCTCCTCTGAAAAAAATATTTTCCGAATTTCATAATGACCTCTGTTTTAATGCGGTAATTCCCGCCAAAACACTACGAATCATATCTCTCGCATCAATGAATGCTTCCTCGCTGATAATCCACGATAAAAATAATTACTTATTTCCGACTCCACTCTCGTGAGTAGCAAACCCAATTAGACGACGGTTGAAGTAATTTATCAACTGATATCAAATGACGTTCCCAACATTTAGTCCCCTTCTTAATAGACAGAGATAAAATTTATTTGATTATATTTCATTCGAAAGAATAATAATAGCAGTCTTTCGGATGCTCATTGAATAATTTTTCAATATACGGAGGCCTTTTTTCACGTTTTCCATCCAAATAGAGGCTAGTTACATTTCAAAACTTCGTATTTGCACTTACTGCAGCTCTCCTTGGCAATACGGTAGCTCAGGATGTCTTCAGGTCTGAAAAAATCGGAAAAGTTCGGGAATAATGTGGTTTCATTCCAGGTCTGGAAAAATACCACTTCCCCGTGGTTAAACATACAAAAATGACTGTTCATTTGATTTTTTTTTTCATTTAAAAGACGGATTCATAAAAAAAAAAAAATCAGGTCCTGGTGATTTTTCAATACGTAAATTCTGAAATTAATCGTTCGATAGCCGAATCAGTAAAAGTGCTGGAACTGATACAGCTGAAAGAGTTCAACCGCCAAAAAAAGGCATTGAAAAATCAGTTTTCCCTCCATAACTTTGGGTGTACATCCTGCAGGTACTTAAGGCCCCTTTTTCCATTAACGGTGGAATGAAGCAGGGAGTAGAAAATTCTCGGCCCTCCCATTTTGCAAAACCTTTTCAATATAAAAATTCCTTTTAAGTAAAAAATGTAATAAAGTGGCTCTTTCTATCGCTGTGAGTGTACACATCGCAATTTTCCAAGGAAAAAAAAATACGCGACTTTTACCGCGATTTTGCAATAGGTAATTATGTGATCATCGCCGCGGTTTTTGCGTAAAATAAATGCTTCGGTAAAAGCATGCTGTAAATACGCGCTGAAATGCAAGCCGGCAAATAAAAAGACGGCGGAGCTCTTCGGAATAAAGTTGAAAAGGTTTTTTCTATCTTTTACCTGCCTAAATTTTGTCTTAACTGATGTTGGACAAGCAACAGACCATCTGGTACTCTGGTAGAAGAAGACGTGGCAGAACTTCTCATGCTAATATCTTAATCGACATAGCCAAAGCACTCATTTTTGTTGACACTAACGCCTTGATACAACTATATGTACTCTATGGATGGGAGTGTTGCATACAAGAAAATGGAAGGCGATCTTGTGACTCCAATTCATGAAGTAATGTGTGGCGCGCCGATACGAATATTAATGCAATTCTATGATACAATTAAGAAGAGAGGCCGTATTTTTGCATCATTTCCACATATTAGAATATCAAATCTCACTGTCACACCGAGTCGTGGGCCAGTATGTCACCGCGAGCACTTGTTCAAGGGGAGAAAAACCGAGCGCCTTCAATTTTTAGTAAGCAACCCGGATATCCATAGAGCATATATAGTTGCATCAAATCCTTACTACAAATATCATTGTCCTCTGCTGGGGTATCAATACTGAAGCGTTAAGTGAAAACGTCGTATGAATACCCAATCGTTACCAAATTTACTGCGATTAAATACGTTTTTTTTGAAACTTGAAAGCGAATTTTATTCAGAGGTTCGGTACTCCTTTTTCGCCCGAACCTCGCAGCTGCCGTTTCACTTCCGTTCGGAACCTCCGATTCGGTGACTGACGAATCGCAACGTTGGTCCGTGATTTTGCAGGGTGTCTAGCATCAGGATTTTTCCGATTCTATCAGGATTTGAGGCCGATCAGGATTCAATCCCGATTTCATCGGGATTTGAGGAAAAATCGGTCGTTAAATCAGGATTTGAGAGAAGTCGGCCGTCCGATCGAATTTTTTTATCGAGCTATTGTTGTGAAGCTTAAGTTTCTCCGCCAAAAATCAGGATTTGGAAAAATTATGAAATCAGGATTTGGCAGTCAAAAATCAGGAAAAATCAGGATTTCATCAGGACTTCCCCCAAATGAAAAAAACTAGACACCCTGTTTCGGTACCACTCCAGGACCACTCCACTGGAGTCCAGACTCTTAATGACAGTGACAAGAAAATTACTCTTGATTCAATCCGATTTTTCCTTGAATCGAAGAGCCGAACGTCTTCATTCAGGAGGAATTCCTTTTGATTCAAGCAAAAAGTCCGATTGAATCAAGAGTATTTTTTCTTGTCAATGATTTTAAGAGTCTGGACTTTAGACCCAAGCCTCTTTTTTTTTCAAGTGTGCCCACTAGTGTCGATAGTCGATGAGACAAAACCGGGCAGAACTTCCAAAAGAGGTTCGGAACTTTAACTAAACCCACTTTTCCGGGCCCTTCCATTTTTTCACGCGACCGACGATCTGCATCCCGAGGTCGAGAGGTTTTTGCACCCTAGGAGGGAAAAAATCGGGAAAATGCACGGGTTCAACTCGGGAATGGCGGAATCGAAGAAACGATCGGTATGCGCGTTGAGTCATGTTCAAGCGCCAGCATAACTCGGGCCGATCGTCATCGCGAAGAATCCGCGAACTTCCTCCGCAGACCCGTGGAAAGAAAAGAAACTGGAGGATATCATGGGAAAGTCTTCGTCTCCGGGCGCAACCGGATTAATTCTCCCTTCCATTTCCTCTCCGCCTGCATCTGTTCTCATCCGTCTTGGTGTATTTTTCCGGTCGGATGAGGTCTGCGCCTCGGGTGGACCCGCTCCTCGCCTTTGTTGCATCAATTAAGTTGGAATACAAATTGCGTCAGTATAATGATCGCGCTTCCTGCTTCTGAATCTGGATCGGGACCACCCCCCACCCCCCGCCGCCCGACGGGAGCCCTCCCCTTTC